AGCCCGGGCCGCGGTGGCAGAGCGTGCCGTGCTGCAGGGAGGGCCAACCGCCAGGGCCACGGGGCCGGCGTGGGAGGGCGGGATTCACTGCCAGCGGCACAGCGCCGAGGCGTTGGCGAAGCTGGTGACTCAGCCACAGCCCCAAAGGGTTGTGACCTCAGTGTGCAGCTAGCTGGATTTGGGGAAGCAGGGTCGGGAACAGGGAAGGCCGGGTCAGGGGACACTGTGAAAAGTGAGCCACCCAACAATGAGGACCTAAACGTAGTGGCCCAGGTGAGAACGGAAGATGGAGCAGACCCTCGGTGACACGGCAAAGGGGCAAGTGGGTTAGAGTGTCCGGAGGCCACCAGGAGCCCTGCACAGGTGGCCAGCGGGCAGCGGCCGAGAAGCCGTCCCTGCAGAGGCCCGAGCGTGCCCCGCAGTGTGAAGGGCGAGGTGCCTCGCGCTGCCCTCCATCAGCCCCCTCATCCTGCTCCTGGGACCCTCCCTCTGCCCCAGTGTCACCCCGCACGAGGGCCGGGGGCTCCCAGATCTCACCGCCCGTCACGCACGTGTCTGCCCCTCGGCCGTCCCAAGGTGGACGTGAGGCGGGCAGCTGCAGGACTGGGCCTGGGACACAGTCCTGGCCACAGGGCTTCCCGCGGGGCCTGCCATGGACGCCGCCTCCCCAGCGCCTTCGGCCCTGGCCGGAGCCGAGTGCATGGCCAGCGCCCGCCTCAGCCCAGGACCAGCCACGGATGGCTGGGTCCCACATTGGGTGGCTTCAGTGTTGCCCGGGTGGCGTGTCATATGAGCCACCGGCCCCCTGTGCTTCTTCCCGGGGAGAGGCTGCCACTGCGTGGAGTGAGCTCAGGGCACGGAGAACAGCGTTCATGGCGCCCTCCCCACCCGTCCAAGACAACGCGCACCTTCCCCCCTAACGTGGCTGCTGTGAAACGTGGGCCTCTGAGGAAGGAAAACAGCCTGGCCACCCAGGTCCAGGTACCCCCGTGACAGCAGGCCCTGCTGTGGGGGTGGCAGAGCATCAGGGACCCGGGTGCTTCGTGAGACTGGGCTGAAGGCAGTTAAAAACCCTGCCAAGGCCAGCAGCGTCGTCCCCATTAGCCTTTGACCTCCTGGTTTTCCTGCCCTGCGTCCCAGGCCCCCTCGGCTGGCCAGGTGCAGCACCACCCAGGGGGCACGCCTCGTGGGAAAGCAGGCTGCCTGCACCCACCCCCTCCGTCCCCTGGGGACCCTGACTCACCCAGGAACAACAGAGTTGCCCACAGCAGCATGGGACCCCGAAGCTGGTGGGGGGCGCAGTCGGCCCAGGCGCGCCGGGCGGCAGGGCGGGGCAGGGCTGAGGGGACCGCCATCACCTCCTGGCCAGGTCGCTTGCAGCACCAGCGGGGCAGGCACAGGCTTCTAGGAGGCTGGACGGTTATCACTGAGCAGGACAGACCAGCTCTGAAGCCAAAAGAGGAAGTGAGGAGAAGCAGCCTTTTATCACAGGCCCCTCCCCGCCCTTTCCCCTGAGGCGCCCTCCCTGAAGACGCAGGGCTTCCCAGAACACTCGCTCTGCCCCCCCCCCAAATTCACCAGAATTTTAGGAACTGGGAAACGGCTTCCCCACCCTCCCCCGGGGCAAGCTGGGCTTGGGCTTGGGCTCTGGAGGACAAGGGGACGGCCACTTGAACTCAGCTCAGGGCCTCCTCCCGAGCTGTCTCTCCACACAGGTGACTGCGCGGCCTATGACGCCAGGTCCACCTGGAGGCACAGACTCGGGCCCGACTACCCACCGGCCACCCAGCACCGGGCTTTCCTCATCCTCATGGCCCCAAACTCACTTTGGGTTGTGGGACAGGGACAAGGATGGGTGTTGGCTGGCGACGGGTGTCACACTCGTCCTCACTGTCCCCTCCCTCGTTCACTCCCTTCCTCATCCACCCATCCAGATACCTACCAAGTGCCAGCTCGCGCCCTGGTTCTCTATCTTTGCCCCCCGTTCCCATCCTGTCCCGTCGCCATGGCAGGTGACAGAGCATGGCTCTGTGAGTCTCGGTGGGAACGCCAGGCCGCTCCCAGAACGCCTGGTCCCTCGTCCGCCCTCCGAGTAGGGCTTCCCCACCTCAGCACCCCTCACCTTGGGGCCAAACGGCTCTGGTTGTGGGCACCTGTCCCCACGCAGCACCCCGGCCGCTAGGTGCTGGCGACACCCTCTAGCTGTGAAAATTAAAGCGTCTCCAGGCGCTGGCGGACATCCTGGGACTGAGCGGCACCGCGGCCGGGGCTCTTGGAGACCAGGTGAGGGTTTGTGCACTGGCAAAGCGTGTTGTGGTGTCCAGGAACGCCGGTCTCCGCTGGCTTTCTGTCCCTGTCCTCGCAGCCAAGGACCGGGACACACCGGAGGACAGGGACACACCGGCATGCCTCGCAGGGCCCCTCCTGGCCCCTTTCCAAAGGCACCTCAGGAAGCACGGTGTAATACCCAAGGAAATGACAGCAAAGCCTGCGGTCCCGCCCCGGCCCCGGCCCCGGCCCGGCAGCCTCAACAGCCCCACCCCTCGGCCACAGGCTTTCACCGCTGGCCCCTGCTGCCCCCAACCCCAACCGCAAATCTGCCTCTGTCTCTATCTGATTTGGGGATCGAAAAGTCAGATCTTTATCCAGGGCATCTTTAACTCTTTTGTCGCGGACAGATGGTTATTGTTCTACTCGGATGCTTCTGCTGAAGTGACAGGAAGGGCCCTGCTGAGAGCTCTGGACACTGACGCGGCCGCCGAGTCTCGCGGCGCACCGTGGGTTCGGTCAGCGTGGCTGGCGAAGGCTCCCGTGGCGTCCGTGCCGCACCAGCGCTGGAGGCCTGGCCCGACTTCACTGGGACTAGAGGCTGCTGACCGCGTGGCAGAGACGGCTCGAGCCCGTGACACTGGCTCGAGAATCCCGGCCCTTTCCCCTCTCGTCACGAAGCCCTCCTCCTGCGGCGCCCGCTCTCCGGTCTCCCTGCTCTGCCCGCTGCTCCAGAGACCCTGCTGCCATCTGTACTTCTGAGGCTCCAGCAAAGCGGGGCACCCATCTGCCTACTGGGCTGGCCACGGAAGACCCTGCTTGGTCCAGGATGCCGGCGGCCCCGCCGTTCTGCCTGTCGCGACCTCTCCCTGACCCAAGCCTCTGTGTCTCGGGCCTGCGCGCCGCCCTTGCCTGACACGTCAGACGTCCCGCCGTGGCCCTGCCCGTCCCTCTCTCTGCCTCCACCGAACGGACGGAGAGCGGAAGCGGAGATGGGACGAGCAGGGGGCCCGCCCGCCCGCCAGGCCGCCTGACCCGCAGGGCTGCCGCCTTCCCGCTCCTGCACCCCGGTTCCAGTAGCCTCCACTGCAGGACACGGCTTTTGGTGGCACTGCTCGGGTCTGTCTCCACTCGCGCAGGACTGGTGTCCCTCGTGCCTGGAATGCCGGCTAACTGTCCACGGCTCCGATGTCCACACCGAACCAAAGCCTCGCCTGTCGACCTACATTTCAGGCTCCAACGGGAATCACCAGGAGACATTCATGACTCACTGTTCACTTCCCCTGGTGGGTCCCTACTCCCCTGGCCAGCAGTAAGTAAGGCGACGGCTGACGGCTGCCTCAAAAAGTCCCCAGACTCTCTAGACAAAGTTGTTCTTGTGACAGGACAGCCCTCGTTTATCTCTGGCCGAGCCGGGATGTGTCTGCGCTCGGCCACAGCGCCCGCTGCCCTGGGATTAGCACTTCTGAGGAAGCTGACACTCGGCTACACAAGGTCACCGAACAAGCCACTTGGCTTACGATGGGTCTTTTTCAGCCAGGTCTTTCTTGGATCTATTCGACCTCAGGTGCTTTGAGTCCTGGGACTGTGGCTTTGTGTGATCAAAGCGGGGTGATCGATAAAGTTAATTCATACAGTAAATCGAGACCACAAAATCAACTCGGCCCAGAGGCCAGGCCCATGTCACAAACCTAGGTGAAGTCAGCGTGCACTTGCAGGAGACCACTGTCGAGGGCCCATCTCAGTCCCCAGGCCCAGCCTCGGCGGGCTCACCTCATCCTACAGAGTGGGACCTGCTGGCCTTGGGAACCCCACCTCCCAGCGCAGCCACCTCTCTAACTTGCTGTGCAACTCATTCTCGCCCCAAATCCCTCTGGAGAGTGCCCCGCCCCTAGCCCACAGACTGCTTTCCTTTGGATAAAGGACATCGAATTTGTTCCTCGATTGTCTGGTTTTGTCATTTGAAGCAGAGAGCTATATACCGTCAACACACTAAGAGACCAAAACTGATAGGTTGGATGCTCGCTGGCAGGAGGCACTCTACATACTTATCTCTAATCTTTACGACAGTCTTGAAGGCAAATGACACCCTCCTCGTGTGCACACTGAGACACTCAAAAGGTAAACTGAGGTATGTTACAATTTTTAAGAGTTTATTTGAGCAAATTTAACTCCAGTAGAGCAGCACCAAATCGGCAGCGGACACCTGCGCGGAGAGAGAGAAGGCGGGGCTCAGCCAGGACACAAACCGCGACATCCGCTGTAGCTTCATCCGCTGTAGCTCCGTCCGCTGTAGCTTCGGCACTCGTGTTAATCGGAAAAGCCTAGCTGGCGGCTTGTGACTGGCTGCGAAGGGAACAGACTACGCCACCCCAAAATGTCCCTCTTTGGCATAAGGATTATTTGGAGCCGATTATTTTTAAGAAACAGCAGACACAGGAGAAGCCCTGAAAACCAAGTAGCAGCTCCCCATTCGTGAGGGTCACTTACCTTAACGAGGGAAGTCTGCACGGTAAGGGCCGCCCCTCTGTGTAGCGGAGCGAGGACGTCAGAACAAACGCTCATCCATGGAGAAGGCGCAGACTCCACCTGAACACGCTCACGCTCACGGTGCTTTCCTGACAACCTCCCCAAGCTGCGCCTCGACTCCCCAAGCTGCGCCTCGACTCCCCGCCGCCCGCAGGAGAAACCCTTCCTTTTGCCTCTAGCGGAAGACAGTATTCAAGGTGGGCCACTCGGTTTTCTGGGCACTCCCATGGACACAGGACCTTTACACACTATGAAAAGTGTTTGTTTGTTGTTGTTGGGGAAGGGGTATCTCAGCCAAGACCACAGAAGGGCAGAGGGAAAGTTGTCCTCCCAGCCCGCCCCGTGCAAACCAAAACAGAAAGAGGGGTCTCCCGCCGCCACCACCGCCACCGCCACCGCCACCGCCGGGGAAAGACCAAAGAAAGGGCAAAAGTGGAACAGACCACGAGGCCACGTTTCTCAGAGGAAATGGCCGCACGTTATTCATTGGAAATCGAAAGATGCCAATGAAATGCGAATTCTTCGAAAGGGGCTGCTTGATTTAAAATGGATGTGTCAGGAAACAGGAAAGATCAATAATTCAAGAATCAGAAGAGCGCAGTGAGAGGCGGGGTCTGGGAGAGCCGGGTCCGAGGCCTCGCCTCCCGCTGGCCGCGACATCTGTCACCGCCGCATCACCTGCCATCATCCAGCCATCATCCGTCACCCCCGCGCCGTCCGTCACCCGCATCGTCCGTCACCGGGCACTTCGTTCTGCCCCCCTAAGCTCGGCCGCCTCGCTCGGAGTGGGGCTCACACCAGCGCCCCCTTTACAATGTCGCTGCGGAGACTGAACGGTGAAAACGAAATGAACCGGGTCCATTTCAAAGACTTCACTGGCCGTGGGCGGCGTCCGATGCAGCAGGCAGAGCAGAGCCCCAAGGAGCCCTGCGAATGGAGGCCGTTCACAGGCAGAGGCGGCGGGACAGGAAGTGGCGCTGGGCCAAATGCTGGTGGTGACAAGGTCACCTCTCTTTAGGGGACAGCGGGGGTCTATCAGGCAGCTACCTCCCTAGTGCCGATCAGGACGCCCTGACTGGCTGGTGTCAGATCCCACCTCCCGGAAAGCAGAGCTGTCACTGAGTTGGTTCGGTGACATGGGGCCCAGCACAAGTGACTCCATTTTGGGGCTGTCGTCTTGTTTTTTAACAATGCTTAACACAGAACCTGGCTCCTAAACTTGGTCTCCACCGTTGTCCTCCTTGAAGACTAGGAGGGTCTGGTCCTAGGGGACAGTGTTGCCGGCCTGAGAAGCCGGATCAACGCTGCAAACTCTGGCGGCTGTGGCTCTGACACTCAGACCCCGGCCACCAGATCCATTTCCGTTTCCTGCTCGGTCGGGTCCTGTTCCTCTTCTTCTTAGCCCCCTGACCACCCTGTGATTGTTTTATTGGTCCTCTCTAGGGTTTCCTCCCTCCAGCCACTTCTTCAAGAGACGAGCCACCTAGGCAACCCACAGCCGGCTGCTGACCCCGAAGGAAAGGAAGTCTGAGCAAAGGAAGCCACAGAGGGGACGACTGAGCCACGGGGGCGCTGGCTGTGGGCGGCCGCCAGGGCTACCGGCAGCTTCAGCAGGCCGGCCGGGAACGTCCACT